TTTATAATTTTGCACATCTGTGTTCAATTTGAGCATGTTTGTGGTGGTTTTTCATCTCTTTTTGTCATTGTGTGTCTACTCTTGGCGAATTTGCGTCACTTTGTGGTCATTTTGTGTAGTTTTGGTGATTTTGCAACACTTTTTATGAGTGTGTGTCTCTTTGTGGTGGTTGTGTTTCTGTTTTTCCACTTTGCGTGTATTCATGATCCTATTTAGTGACCATGTGGTGACTTTGTCTCACTTCTTGGTCATTTTGTGTCTCTTGGTGGTGGGTTTGCATCTCCTTTTTCATTTTGAGCCTATTTGTGGTGGTTTTGTGTCACTTTTTGTTATTTTGTCTGTGTATTTATAGTCAGTTTTAGTCATTTGTTGTTGAGTTTTTCTCTCTTTCTGGTTGTTTTGCATCTCTTTGTGATCATTTAGTGTCTATTTGTGGTCATTATGTGTCGATTTGTGGTGTTTTTGTGTCTCATTTGATAATTTTGTGTCTATTTGTGGTCATTTTTTGTCACTTGTTGCAGATGTTGCCTCCCCTTGTCATGGTTTGAAACCCATTTTTAACTTCTTTCTGGTGACTTTTGGTCTCTTTTTGGTAATTTTGCATCTCTTTGTGACGTCTCGATTCTGTGTAATAATGAGGAGGTAGAGATTGTGAAGCTAAAGTGCAGAGTTTCAGAGCTGCAGACGTGTATGTGTGTGTTGTTGTGTTGCGCATGTCCATACATCTATATGCTGAATCCATATTTACACTGATCTGCTGTAGCTTGACAGATGAGCTGCTATATTATTTAATAAATACCGCAGACACCACATTTTAAAAAGTCAGCTGAGCCCAGTGTAAAAGTGATGTTTAGTCTGTGAGCAGCTGGTGCTGATGGGAAACAGCGTTTGTTAAAGGTTGATAGAAAATATAGAGCTGTGTTGAACGGATGAATGAGGTGTGTGAGAAAGTCAAACAGCATCATTATCGTGAAGATGTCCTCGTCTGCGATAATGAGACAGCTCAGGAATCCTCCTCTTTGTTTGTGAGTTTTCAGCTGCGTGTTGTCATCTCACCGGGCGGACGGAGAGCCCTTTAATTAGCTCGTCTCTGCAGCAGCTCTTCCTCTGGACGGCCGTGCCTTCATTAGCTCCTGGGTAATCACATCACGCCGCCTGTCAGAATACACTCAGACCCAGAAGAGCGTTTTTTTTTTTTTTTAAGGGGGCGGTCACGCTGCTAATTGGCACTTTCATGGAAACCTGGAGCTGCAGGACCTGACGGAGATCAGGTGGTTTGTGCTTCGACCTGCCGGGTTCACCGGTTTGTGGTTTGTAGCTGAATTAGCGTCGCAGCTCGAGGGAAGGTCAAAGCGATTCCCTCAGGACTGAAACACGGCAGCTCAATGTCACCAAGCGTCCAAATTAACACCTTCTGCTTGCTTTGGAGACTGACAGAAAGTCCTGTCACTTAATGAATTATTTATCACAAGCATGTTTTCATCTATAAACTCGTCTTGTTACCAAGATTTTCCTCCGCTGATCCTTTTAATTGGTACACATTTTTAAATTAGAGCTACAATTTTGGAGACAGAAATTACAGGCAGCTCAGGCTGTGAGCGATTATTTCTTGCAATTTATTCATTTATATGAAGGTTGTTTCTTATTCTTCACAGTTTTTTAGTTCCAGCTTGTTTTTGGTCTCCTGCCTCATGAAGGAAACGTTCGTGTCAGCCATTTAGTGTCAAGTTTTATATGACTTATTTTGACAAACTTATAGCTGAAGACCAGCTACATCCTTTAAAATTACAAGGAAAGTTTGCAAAGAAATAGCTGGAACATAAAACCAACACTAAACATAATGCATAGGGCACAAAAAACAAGTGCAAAAAGGCACAATGTCACCACAAAGTGACAAAAAAGATCAAAAATACACACGTGACAAAATTTAAGTGCACAAGGAAACAACACAATCACTAAAAAGAGACACAAATTGGCCAGAAACAACCACAAAGTGCCACAAAAAGACACAAAACGATCACAAAGTTACTAGAAAGTGACATAAAACTACCAAAAAGACATAAAACAATCACAAAAAGACAAAAATTGAGCACAAAAGACACCAAATAATCACAAATATATGCAAAGAGTCTGAAAACAACCACAAAGGGGCACAAAATAAACTCAGAGACAAAATAAAAAATAAAAAACCAGAAAAGAAATGCAGAAAAACACAAGTAAACACAAAATGATCACAAAGAGACGCAAACGTTCTACGAAGCGGCACAAAACTACCACAAAGACAAAACAAAGGAGGAACAACTGAGTGACACAAAATAGCAGCAAAAAGACACAAAAGAACGATAAAGGGACATAAAAACAAACTGAAACATCCTGGAGCAACATAAGCATTAATGTAGAGCAGCATTTGTTCAGTTTTCATCGTCTTTTAGCTCCGTTTTTGGTCTCCACCACCTCCTGAGGGAAATATTCGGCTCTTTAGCTTTGAAATGCTCGTGTTCGGTGATTAATAGCAAACTGCGTACACCTTTCTTTAATGTTTACAGATAACTATCAACTAAACTGAGAAACTTATCAGGAAAGTTTGTAAGAAACTAGCTGGAAAATACAGAAACTGTAAAAGCATGAAAGTGTGTTTAAATCTCTATAAAGACCGACTGTCACATCTTTTAGTTTATCTCGTGTACATATGTGTTAGTTTTGTGTCTCATGTTGGTCATTTTGTGTCTATGTGTGGTCAGTTTTAGTCACTTGCTGGTGATTTTTTCTCATCTTGTCGTAGCTTTGTGTCTCGTTTTGGTCATTTTGCGTCTATTTGTGTTGGTTTCGCATCTCTTTGTAGTCATTTTGCTTCGGTATTCATCTTGTGTCTGTTTGTGTTGGCTTTGCATCCTTTTTTTGGTCATGTTGCGATAAATACCAACTAAATCGAGGAAATTCTGAGAAAAGTTTGCAAGAAATAAGCTGGTAAATACAGTTAAATACTGCATAAAATCAAGATAAAGTGTTTCCTGCTACACCTCTTTGGTTATCTCGCATCTATTTGTGTTGGTTTTGCATCTCTTTGTGTTCATTTAGTGTCTGTTTGTGTTCATATAGTGTCTGTTTGTGGTGGTTTTGAGTCTTTTTTGTCATGTTCTTCCTTGATATGTACAGACAACTACTAGCTTATAAAATGATGAGGAAAGTTTGCAAGACATTAACTGGAAAATGCAGAAACCACCCGTCTGCAGCATCCATCCAGAAAGAAGAGAATTCAAACACCCCAGTGCAGACTTTATAAACCAGCATGTGCACCAGCATCCTGCAGGGCTGCAGCGCCGCCTCCTACAGCGCCGCCTGCATGTACGTCCTGCTGAGGTTTTCTCTCCACAACAGCGAGTCACAGCGAGCGAGTCGGAGTGTCGCTCAGTCTGACTCTCAGCCGGCCTTTGCATTGATCAGGCAACCAGCAGACATCTTCACTTCCACAGCAGCCGAACGGCCTTAATACATTAAATATGAACCGGATACCGCTGCAGCTGATCACACAGCAGGAAAACCAGGGTGGAAGTCAGACTTCTCAGTTTACAAGCAGACATGACCGCGAGCAGCGAAGCTACAAGGAGCCGCGAGAACAATCGGACGAGTTACAGGAAGCAGGAGCGACTCATCCACACTGTGAGAAGTCTTTGAGCTGAAGAAAAGGACTGTTTGCCTTTGGTTTGGGAAGATTAATCTACTTTTCTGGATTTTGTTTAGCCTGAAATTACATTTTGTCCTCCTAAAGTGGGATTTGGATTTCAGCAAAAGTGTGAAAATGAGATAAACTCCATCTTTATGTTGTGCATTCAGAACCATACATGTGTTTATCCTGAGCCTCTGACTGAGACGATGCGTTCAGGTGACTCAGATCATTTTAACTCTGATGCAGATTTGAACAGCAGCAGGAAAGCAGCGCAATCTGTTCCTATGTAGTTATGTCGGACATAGAAATTTTTTTGTCATTTTAAGCAACTTTTTAAAATAAATTAATTAATTAAGAAAACAATTAAGTCGCATTGGACAATTTTAAACAATTTTTTAAATCATTTCCGACAAGTTTTTGTCATTTTGGGAAACATTTCTGTCTAAAATGACTAAATTTGTCCAAAATTACTCAAAATGTCCAAAATGACTCATGCTTGGTTGACTTTGGACTGGACTTTGTCATTCAGTTATTTTGGATGCATCTGAAGTTATTTTTAACAACGTTTTAAGTCATTTTATGTCGTTTGATCAATTTTTTAATCATTCGTTGACACGTTTCGAATCATTTTATTGTAGATTTACATCATATTTTGTCCAGAATGATTCAAAATCTGTCATTTTGGAACGTTTATATTTTGGGATTTTGGGCATAAATTATATTTTAGTCACTTTAAGTACATTTACAGTCATTTTGAACAAGTTCTGTCATTTAGGATCCATTCTGAGTCCATCCATCCATCATCTCTACACCTTCATCCTCACCAGGGTCATGGGGGGCTGGAGTCTATCCCAGCTGACTCAGGGTGAAGGCAGGTTCACCTGGACAGGTAACCAGTCTATCACAGGGCTACACTTAGAGACAGACAACCAAGCACACTCACATTCACACCTACGGACAATTTACAATCACCAATTAACCTCAGCATGTTTCTGGACTGTGGGAGGAAACCCGAGAGAGAACCCACGCTGCACGGGGAGAACATGGAGACTCCACGCAGAAAGATCCCGGGTGTCCTCACCGGGACGTTAACCGGCGACCTTCTTGCTGAGAGGCAACAGTGCTAACCACCGTTCCACCTTGCAGCCTCCATTCTGAGTCATTCTGAACAATTCTGAGCAATTTTCAGGTGTGACATCATTTTTCTCCACAATAACAAAGTTTGCCTAAAAAAAACAAACATGACGAAAAGCAAAAGCTCCGTTGATTTAAATGTTCGAGTGTGAAGCCTTTGAAACCATCCAATGACTTTCAGATTCAAGCAGCAGCTCACCTGCCGTCCATCGATGGCTCCTCTCATCTCCTTGAACGTGGCCTCGAACTCGCCGATGTAGTCGTGTTTGCCGTTGGAGTCCCAGTCCCAGACGGTGCACTGGGTGGACAGAAAAACAGAAACACTGGTCACATGTCAGAGATTTTTTATTTATTTTTTTTTTTTAAAGTCAATTTATTTCAAACCATTTCTGAGTCGTTTTGGAAAACTTTTAAATCCCTTAGGAAGAGTTTCAGGTCATTGTGGATCATTTCTTAGTCATTTTTGGAATAATTTTAAATAATTTTGGACAAATGTAAAGTAATGTTGTATGAATGTTTGTAATTTGGGACAAATTTTAAATTATTTTGGAAAAACTTGGAGTCATTCAGAATGAGTTTTGTGTGTGTGTTTTTTTTTTGTTGAAGTTATTCTGGACATTTTTTGTTATTTTGGATACATTTTGAGTTATTTAGAATTTTTTTCAAATTAGATATTTTTATTTTGGGCAATATTAGAGTCCGTTTAAAATAAAAGATATTTTTTAACACATTTTTTTAAACTCATTTTGGAAGACTGAGACATTCTAGACAAGTTTTGGATCATTTTGGACACATTTTTTTCACTGCAACCGGTTTTTAAGTTATTTTGGACAATTCTTTGGTCATTTTCTACCGTTTAGAAGAGAAAAGAGACAAAATGTTGGAAAGAAAAGTTATGTTGGACTTTTCTTTTGTCAGTTTGGAGACATTTTGAATAATTTTCGACAAATTGTTGTCATTTCGGACACATTTCAAGGTATTTAAGGCAATTTCTGACTAACTTTGGAAAACATTTGAGTCATTTAAGATGTGTTTCGAGTCATTTTGATGATTTTTTATTTTTTTTTGTCATTTTGGACAAATTTCAAGTAATTTTAGACAATTTCTTTGTCATTTTTAATACTTTTTTTTAATATTGTGGGAAAATGGTAAATGGTCTGCACTTATAGAGCACTTTTCTACCTTGGCGGCACTCAAAGCGCTTCACAGTGTTTCTCATTCACCCATTCACACACAGTCATACACCGATGGTGACAGAGCTGCCATGCAAGACGCTATTCTGCCATTGGGAGCCATTTGGGATTCAGTGTCTTGCCCAAGGACACTTCGGCATGTGGGGGGAACCGGGGATGGAACCGCCAACCTTGCCATCAGTGGACAACCCGCTCTACCACCTGAGCCACAGCCGCCAAATCATCTGTTTGGTTCAGTGTGAAAAAAACAATCTTAAATGAATAAAATCTTTCAAACTGGAAGCAAACGTCACTAAAACGACCCCGTCAAATGGAAATGCTACGTTTCTGGCAGCAGTTTGACTGTTGGCGATGAAAACAGACGTTCAAGTGATTCATATGGATTTCAGAGCATCGTTGTTGCTGGATGTGAAATAGAAATGAATGTACATGAAGCACCCTGTCCACGTGGTGAGTCGTCCCACTGGAACCAGAGCAGGGATACGACTGGCAGCACTGGGACGCAGCAGAACAACAGCTGGATGCAGGACAGTTTGACAGAGCTCATGAAAAAAAGAGGTGAAGGAGAGTCTGCAGGAGGAAAACCACCAGCTCATGAATTTACAAAAACACTCTGTCAGTTCTGGGCAGCAGCAGGTTCCACGTTTTCACATCTTCATGCACGAGCTTCACTGAACAACTGAACCTTTCACTGCCTCCTTCATTTCCACCTCTGTGAGGACTGACTCAGATTTCATTGTTTCATCAGTGCAGAGCTGAATCCACACATCCGTCTTGTTTTGTTTAACCAAACCAGTCGCAGTAATTTGATGAATCTAAAGTACAGACGGTAAGAGGAAGCTTCAGGAAGAACAGCTGCTTAAAATGCTGCCATCTCTTTTGCGACAGTCATTCCAAAAGCTCGTTTTCTGGCTCGCTGAGGAAATTTTTTTGTCTTTTTATCATCTTATTTTGTCCTCATACTTGTTTGAAAATCATTTTGGTAATTTATTGTGTCCCCACAGCTATTTTGTGGGACTTTATGGTCATATTGTGTTTCGTTTTGTCTCTTTTTATTTTTGCATCTAACGTTTGTCATTTTGTGCCTTATTCTGATTATTTTGCATCTTGTTTCGACATGTTGAACGTAGCTTTGCCATTTTGCATCATGCTTTGGCCGTTTCATGGCCTTCTGGTTGCTTTTGGTCTCATTTTGGGTCATGTTACATCTAATTTTCTTCACTTTGAAAGTCTTTTTGGTCCCTTTTTATCTTGTTTTTGACATTTAAATCTTATTTTTGACCATCTGCATCTTACTTTGATTATGTTACACGTTGTTTTGACCGTTGTTTGTCTTTTTTTGGTTGTTTTTATTGCTTTGTTGTTGCTTTTATTATTTTTGGTCATGTCATGTCTCATTAGGATTATTTTTTGTTTCATTTTGCACCTTGTTTCAGAATATTTGCATCTTATTTTGGACAATTTGCATCTTATTTGGGTCATTGTGAACGTATCAGCCATTTTGTGCCATGTTTTGGCATTTATTCTGATTTATTTTGGTCGTTTTTGTCTTTTTTCATGGCCTTCTGG